TACATGTTCATCCTACTGTTAAATATATTTTTAACTTTTGAAATTCGATGTTAGGTTTAATCTATTATTTTGTTAAAGAAAATCTTGTTTAATTCATAACTTTTTCGGTATAGCTCTGATTAAAATGCTTTTCGCGTCTGTGTGTTCGTAGTAACGTGTAGAACATCTTTAAAACCTTTTTACTTGCTGTTTATTATGTTTGGTGTACTATTCTGATTTAGTTCTATTGTTTGTTTCGTGTATGATTACATGGATGCTTGTTTTTTAATCATATGCATGTGTCTACCTTGACAACCGTAGTAATTTTCCTAACTATTTAATATCTTGAATTCCTTGTTACCTATGGGGTATTGCATTGGGTAGCATGATGCTAATACTCAACTACAACCATGATATTGTAACTTGACTAATGGAATATGCAATAAACATTAAAAGATGTTTTTTAGCAATATGGAACAAGGGGGCTAGAGCATTGGACTATTTTTGTGGTGCTCTAGATTCTTCTCCCTAAAGACTTATCTGTAAGCGAACATCCGGGACTTATAGTACAACTGTGAGGGCTACATGGCTCTGAATTTAGCTCAGTATGAGGACATTTTCTAGCTTGTTAGTGGTTACGTTTATGGCGTAAGAATAGCTTGCCGAATCAGGTATAGGACAGCCTTTATCCCCTTGTGTATAGGCTACATGTCATTGTGCCATCGAGAATGGGGGTTTCTATATCTGTTTGCCGAGTGAATCTAACGACCCTAACTCGTTAGACGAACCTTTGAAAGGCTTTATAGTGAACCCTACCGACATTTCTTGGTAGTGGGTCTAAGAGGTTGGCCGCCTCGGGCGAAAGGGTAAATCACGACTCACAGTGAAAATGTACAACCTCTGCAGAGTGTAAAACTGATATATCAGTCGTGCTCACGGTCACGAGCGACCTTGGAACCCTTACGGAATAGATGATGAACACTGATGATACTGATGATAAAGATGCTCACTAATAATTACTGTTTATGGTATTCATTATTCATGTTTACCTGATCATGTGTTTATATGGGCTCGTGAATAAACTTGCTGCCACTCAATTATTAAAAGATGACTCATTAAAAGCTAATCACAGTTAACCAGTATTAACCTTTTGAGCCTCATGAACCCTATGTTATATTTGCTGAGTACGAGACGTACTTACGCTTGCTTTACTTTTTAAATCTTTGGAAAAATCCCGGATGGGTACCAAATTGCTAAAGTTTGGAGGAATTAGGTTTGTGATGAACCAGTCAGTTGTCCCTGTAGAATTGGAGTCTTCACCCGAAGATCGGAGTTGTCTTTCCGTTGTTTGCTATCTAAGCTTATATTATTTATAATAAGTACGTTATATATTGAGCATTGTCTATGGATAGTACCCTTATTTGTATCTATATATATGAGATTTGACTTTCTGGGCTCATATATAATACGTGTTGTTAAAACCGGATGCTGCAGTACTGGTCAGCCCATGCCGGCTATACCGGTGACGGAGCTCCTATCTACGGGACTCTGGAGGCTATGCCGAAGTCACCCAGACAGGGCGCGGAAGGTTGAGTCGACCATGATGTTGCCTGTTTTACGTCACGGTATAGCACCATTGGCACGTGCTCATGGTGAACATAGTGCAGACCGATGGCTATGTCCTTAGCAATGCCGTAGCAGGTTTGCCATGTACCGATAGACGATGTTTCCTCTTGTTGCTGTTGGCTCCGCCCGGCGGTGCCACCTTTCAGGAAAAGATGTTGATCCAAGCTACCGCTCATCATGCACTCATAGATCAATACGAACACCCCTTTGTTGTAGAACCAAGATGAATTTTGTCGTGCAATATGCTTGACACCATATTGATTCATTTGACAAAAATGGTATTAACCATCTTACTTTTTTTGACGAAACTAGTGGGGCCTAAGCCCCTACATGCATTTTATTAAAAGAACTATCTTACTGTTACTGACCGAAGGCTTTTAAGGAACCCTCAACATTAACGTAACTGCTCCCTGTAGGGCATCCGTCCATCCGGACGACGGCTTCCTGGGCCTGCGCAAAGGACCGGCCCAACAGGCCTGCATGCGCTTCTCTATTAAAAAAAACTGTTGGACGCCAATTCCCCAATCCTCCCCGTCGCGGCATTCTCCACCACTGCACCACGCCATCGACCGTCGTGGTAGGTTCCACCGCGTCGCCCGCCGCTCGCCTTCTCCAACATGGGACCGCTTCGCTGCGGCGTTCTCCGAAAGCGGGGGCGCGCCGCCGTGGCACGGCACCAACCCACCGCGACCTTCTCCGGTAGCGGGGGTGCCTCACCAGAGGTCGCAGCGAGCGACCATCGCTGCTGCCTCCACCGCATGGCGGCGGCTCGTCGGCGCCACCACCTCGCCCGTCGAGCCCGCCACCGCATGATTCCGAGATAGTCCACGACGACCGTTGCGGCATGCCCAGGCGCCTGCCTGGCGCCATCCTTCCTCTCTCCACTACGCCCAGCCACCATCCTCGCATCTCCATCGCACCCGGCGACGCGCAAGCTTCGTAGCTCTGCGGTTCTCCACGGGTAAGGCCATGGCCGCCCGAGATGCCGTATTGAGATGTGCGTGTTCAAGTGTTTCATCTAGATGTTGCGTATGTTGCAATGATTATATACGCATGTTGCATGCGTATGTTCCATGTTGCAAGCATATGTTACAAATGTTTCAAGTGTTTCAAACATATGTTTCAAGTGTTTCATCGTGATATTGCAGAAGTATATCTCAATGTTGCATAACATGCATGTTGCAAGCGTATGTTTCAAGTATTTCAGGTGTTTCATACGTATGTTACAAGTGTTTCATCTGGATGTTTCAAAAGTAGATCTTGTTGTTGCACATGTTGCTATGGCTATACACACATGTTTCAAGCGTATGTTTCATCTGTTTCAAACATATGTTGCAAGTGTTTCATTTGAATATTCTAAAAGTAGATCTCAGGGTAGCACAAGATGCTGCTGCTAGTGTGCCGCTGTGGGTCACCACGCGCCTGATGGTGTTGCTGCGTGCATGCGGCCACCTGAAATGGAGCGGGCTCAGGGTGGTCCCCGTGCATGCGTGGGCTCGTGCGGCCTCCGGAGCGGGATGGATGCGGGCTGCGTGCGTGAGGTACGGGCCCGGGAGAACCGACTGACGCTAGCGCCCCGGATCGGACGTCCGGGCGCCAGCAAATCCCCAACATTAATCCTCATGAAATATCTTTAAAATGATAAATCATATAAATAAATAAAAAGATTCGGCCATCAATTTTAACTGTTTTAAAAAAAAATACCAACATCTGCCATTCTAAAATAAAAACAACATAAAGTAACTCCTAAATCAACATGTAAGTTACCAACTTGTGCCATAATATAACATAATCTAAAGTAACTATCTGCAGCTTGTTCGCTTGCTCGTATCTGGCTTATAAGCCATGGCTTATCAGCCAACGAATAATATTTTTCTCTCACACCAAACCAGCCAACAGTACTTTCAGCCATGATTTATAAACCAAACCAGCCCAAATGAACAAGGCGCTGCTTTGCACGTAAATTACCCACCGTGCAATTATAATATACAACCTAAGTAAGCTTTTTAAATTAATTAGCATGTAGATTTCCATTTGAAGGGCTGACACCGCTGGCTGCAGACCGACTATGAATCGAATGGATTTTTTTATTTTTAATCCTTTTTTTTTGTCAATATTTTAATACTAATCCAAAAAAAAATATTTGCAAAACGGACCCTTTTGGTCGCGCCAGCGTGGCTAGCGTGACAGTACCACTCTGTCGCGCCACATGCGCTGGCGTGGCAAGCCGAGCCACGGTGGCGCCCGTCGTTGACCGATGCTGGCGTGGCATACCGTGGGCCCCGCCCTATCGCGCTAGCGTCTTAGGCGCCACAGCGTTGTCGGCTGGCGCGCGACAAGGGGACTTAGGTTTAGTCGGCTCGGCCCATTTTCTTCCTCTCTCTTTCTCTCTATCCACTCCCCCACGCCCGCGGTTCCCAGGCGCCGCCGCCGCAGCCTGCGCAGCCGCTCCTCTACCTCTCCCACGTGCGTCCACCTCTCTAGCACTCCTCGGGCTCGTCCCTCTCCTGTATCGGCACAGAGGGAGGCAAGCCCCCCGTCGCTTGCCCGTCCCCCCGCCGGCGGCCTTCACCACCGTCGAACACCTCCAGGTAGAAGTTCCCTGCCTTCATTTGTTGATGTTGTGGCTCTTTAGTTGCATTGGTAGGGTTAGCAAATTTGGTATGTTATGAATGTGTTTTTAGCGTTCATTGTTAATGTTTGATGTGTGCTTTAGTTTTAGGATATACTGTACTCGTGGATTGGACGTAAAGTTCTTGTTGCATGGACGTAGGTAGTTGATATATGAAGGATTTGTATAGGTATGTTTGTTCCATTTTGTGTCATGGTAATGTAGGAGTGAATGCACACATTAGGGTTACCAAATGTGTAGTTGTTATTGGTATTGATATGTTGGTTCATATTTTGTAGATGGATCGGTTAGTGCGATTGTTTCATGGTGGCAAAGTTAAAGGAAATGGGGAGTTTGAAAGCATGCAAGAACATGTTTAGTTCTTTAGTACACCTCCTACCTTTCATGGTTTGGTTAGCCAATGCCGGGATAAATTTGGGTGGCCACTAAGATTGAGAGGTTGGTTTGACTGTGGAAGGAACGAGCACACTATGTGTTGATGTGTTTGTCATGTGAGGATGAATGGAAGAACTACGTAGAAATTGTCAAGAGTAGCAATGTTAGGTGCTTGGAAGTTGTTGTGGAGAAGGGGTCTAGCCCAATTGTGGTGGCTGTGGATGATAATGTGGATGTGGAGCCTGTAGAGAACCTTACCTAAGACGAAGAGTTACAGGCGGTTGTCGTTAGAGAAGTTGATAGGTCATGTGAGCCCGGTGCCTTGAATGATGATTTTGATGAATAAACATTTGATGAGGACGATGGCAACGAAGATGGAACACATGACATGGATGACATATCCGAAGGATCGGAGGATGATGAAGTTGATGTTGCCTCCGCGGACAAAGATGACTTTACTTCGGGGCCAAGTACTTCAGATGATGTGTTAGAGGACGAGTACAGGTCTGAGCCTAGTACCGAGGACAAAAGTGATTGTTGTGAGGGAGGGTTTCCAGACGCAATAGGAGTCATAGCTGATGGGTCATTGAGAATGGAGTACAATGACGTCGAATTGAGGCAACTGAAGGCTGTCCATGTGGAGGTACCCTTAGTACCAAATTTCATGGACATTAGTATGGTTGACCAGGCAGTATGTGACACCGATTTGACATTGGTGGCCGATGAGGTACCAGATAGTGAGGAGGTGGAGATTAAGAAGGGAATGGTATTTGATACGTTGGAGCATCTGAAGTATTTTCTGATGGATTATGCCATTCGGTTTCACAAGCCGTATTATGTGTCCCACTCCGACAAGAACAAGAGGAATATGGTCCTTTGCAAGAATGGATGTCAATGGGGTCTATGGGCTCGGAGGCAGAGAAATGAAAAGTGGAAGATTTGCAATGTGAGGCAACCTCACACGTGTCGATCTTCGAAGCTGAAGGGTGTGCACACCCAAAACATAGCCCGTTACCTTGGTCGTCGTCTCATTATTTTAAAAATTCAGCTGTCGACCAGTCACTCGAGGAAAGTCCTCTAAAATCCTCTTACGGGTCTTCCATGATGGCATCTCTACCCCGTACCTCGTCCTCACCTCTATCCGCTTCTCCTCTTGCATCCAATGCTTCCTATCTTTTTCGAGAGGTGAATGTATCTTCAGCCTCTCTAGTAACTCTCCACGACCAGGGAAGTCCTTCTAATTGCATGTCCTCCCCACCTAAGCAAACACAAAGAAATGAGCAAACAAACCGGTGACCTATGTTCATGTAGTAACTTCACCAGTTCATTCAACTCACCCATAACTCAGATGGCCCTCCATAAGCATTGCCACAGTAGTATCTGTGTCCTAGCTCAAACGGAACAACTCCTTCGTGAGCCTTGATGCCACACTTGCACTTATGGTCTGACGTCTTTATGCATGGCCATGGCTTAATGCCTGCTTGAAACTCCATAAATTCATACTCAGTAGGCTAGTGCGATTTGGGTCCATAGTTGTACTCCTCAAAGTCATAAGATGGGAACCCTCTCTGCAAAAAACAAATGTTCCAAGTGTAACATTGTATGTGCAAAACGCATACAAGCTTATAGATAGATTGCTTTCATGACAGCTAACATAATCTGGCAATTGTTGGTATTAGTTAACGTAAATAGATAAATCTGCAAGCACACGGATACCGCTGTAGCTTTCACCTGGAGTATTCCTAGGTATCGATTTCCACGGGGAATGAGAAGTGAACTAGAAAAGATCAAGGTCATCCAAGGAAAAGTGTTTTTGGAGGTAGAGAGGGGTTTTCTAAGGTTTTCCCAAGTCAAACTAAATAACCAAGGTTTAGGCTTACTATGCTTACTTACCTCGGAGCAACAGTACCTTTCTGATCCTCGGAAAGACTGGGAAGAGGTGATTGGGGTCAGGTTGCCAAAAAGCTCTACGGAAATACCAATCCGAACATGGTGGATTACGAAGGCTTGGTCAGAGCTGTCACCTCTAGCGCTACCACAACTATCCATGGGATTGGACGCAAACTCGGGTAAACACTAACCTAGACACCACATCTACGCTAACGATTTCTACTCAAGCCCGAATTCTTAGACTAGAGCACTCGGTCAAGCGGAGTTCCCGTAAGTGAAGCAAAGTAAGGACTAAACTTAGTCAAGTAGAAAGCTTGGAAATACCGAAAGAAAACCTGGATATTACTCAAGTTGAGTCGGCTCCGTAGAGGTACAAAGTTGAGGAGGACCCAACAAACCTGGCTCCTCCTTAGCTCTATTCCTCTCCTCTCTTCCTATTTTCTCTATTACAACTAGGTGTGAAGCACCTAGAGGGACACTACTACAATGTATGGATGAAGAATGAAGCACAAGTAGGTGTGTGTTGTAGAGGTGGGTGCCCTCTATTTATACAAGGAGCAAGGGCGGTGTTATGGCTATTCCTGGCATGAAGTCCCTATCTCCACCGCCTCTGCATGCTTCCTTACCACCGCCTATCGAAGGGGTGGCCGAGAGGCGCCAGTGGGGGCTCGGGCAACTCTAGGGGTCGGCCACCCCCTAACCAAGCCCCCTCGCCACTGCCTTCGCGTGGTAGGCTATGGGCTGGACATGGTTCGCTCCTCGGTGGGTTTTTTCGTCCGAATGAGTTGAGTTGATGGGCGTCTTTATTGTTCCTTTGCTAAATCAGCGTGAAAAGCGCCTTTCGGTGAAATTTTCCATGCATTTGTTTTTATGTCCTACAAAACAAATGAGAGCACCAAAACTCGTGGAACTTGTTAGATAAAATAATATTTTGTTATGATGTAGCCTAAAATGTTGTCATTTTAATGCACTTTAAGGTGCAAAATATTTGAGGTAAGAATCACCAACAAGCTCCCCCACACTTAGATCTTTGCTCATCCCAAGGAAAGGTTAGGATAAAGTAAACATAAACATGGCAGTTCAAGATATGAGACTAGCATAACAATTATTCAAAAAAAATATACCTCGTACTTGTGGGATATGTGGAGTGTCTATTATATCTCCTTGAGTGGTTTAGAAATGAAATGGCTCTGAAACAAAGTTATCTCTTCCCATTTTCACATCTTATTCACTTGGAGTTTTTGTAACCTTTTGAAATAAAACATATTTCACATGTACTCCTCGAATGGTACTCTCAAATCACTCAATGGTGTTTGATTCCTCACCAAGGTATATCATAGCAATGCCTCTTTTTCTTCCTACTTCTAAAAAGCTTATATGGAGCTTGGGTAGAAAAAAGTATGAAGGCATACTTGCATTGTGTATTTTGCTAAGTCAAATAATGGATCCATGGAGAAAAAGGTCATACAATCAAATCAAGATGTGCATGTGTGTGGAACATTTGATGGATATATGGTGGCAAACCTAATTCTACTATGCTCTTTAAAACATATCTCTCTCTTTATTGGGACATGGAAAATTCTTGTGAGAACATGGGCAATCTTTATTCTTATCTTTCTTTTCTTCTGTTCTTTCTTTCTTATCATCTCTTTTTCTTTTTCTCTTTCTTTCTTTTTTTGATGATAGCCTCATGCCTTTTTTGCAACAAAACTTTTGAGATTAGATATCAACAATGATTTGGAGCATTTATTTTGATGGAACCTAACAAACATATTTTTGTTCACTCCAAGTGTAGGAGTAGAACATTTTTGGATGGATCTAAGTGGAAGACATGTTTTTTGTGCCTACTCCTAGTGTAGGAGTAGTGCTTATATTTGGTGGCATGTACGTGATCTTGATTTTAAAATCATGATAACTTTATCAACATGGGTCAACAAAGTTTGACAAAGCTCGACACAAAAACAAGTAGCATATGCAGAAGGTTTTCATCATAATATTTGGCCTTGGTAGGACTTTTTCTCACCATTGAGGAGTATGTGTGAAACTATGGATTTTGACATTTTTATAAAAAATTCTCCAAGTACCTTGAATAGAAAATGTTGTATTTCCATGTCAAAGCCATATATCACTTCATAACAACTTAGTCAATATGTTTTTCCTATATGATATTTTCTCACAAGCACTAAGTGTATGTAAGGAATAAACATTATGCAGGTCATTCTCAAAGAGCTATAATCATGTTTACTTTCAAATTTGACTCTAAGTGTGAAACTTGGTTCTTTTTAATTTGCATATTTAAACAAGTGTAGAACCGGGAGTATGCATATGAACAGGTGACATAGGATCAGAGTTGCATGCAAGCCCCAACACCAGTTCATTATGTGGTTCGGTGCTTTTGTTTCGTATTTTAAGTTTGATTATCATGTATGGCATTTTCAAACACAATCAAACTTATAGGAACTAAGCATGGCTGAGAGAAGGGAGTGCAAACCAGCATTCCAGAGCGAGGGGAGCCCAAGAGAAGGCAAAGTATGGTCAGGCCCCCACACTTGGATTTTTATGTCATTTGACACTAAAAACCAAGTGTGAATGTTGGAGCATCTCCTTAAGGTGTATTGTAGCACCCATGTTCCTAGACATCATTAATCCTTTGTTCCTATAATTGTTAGTGACAAAGAATACCCAAAGGGCACTTGTCTAGCACCAAAAAAATTTATTGTGGGAGAAAGGGAGGTCGTAGCTTTATTCTTAAAAGACAAGACTAAGCTAAGTTTATTGTGGAGGCACCCACCATGCTGGTCCACCTAAATCGAGAGGCATCCACTTGACCTACTCAATTTAAGTAAAGCGACAGCACAAGACCCCTAGGAGCGCACGTAGCAACTCCTCTTCAGGATCTTTACGTTGAGTTACACACACATACCCAACACAATGCATATCATACAACTCAATCACATACACACTCTAGCCTTACATCTGTTTCTAAAGCATTGTCGATAACAAAATAGGTTTCAAGTGTATAAACGTACTACTAGATCTAATACTCTGACAACTCTATTCCTGCACTAGGTTGCCGCTCTTGTCGCTCGTCAAACCGTCGGATTTACACGTAGCTCATCTTGGAGAGCGCCCGCTCCAAGGTCTGCTAACTTGCATTATTGGAGTTAGCCTCGGAGATAATGTCTGGTCTACCTGCAAAATAACTTAATAGTTGCACCGTGAGTACATTGCGTACTCGTAGGGCTTAATTCCAACATATAGTATTTGGTGGATGCATAAGGTAATTATCGGGCGTTTGTATGAGTGCGGAAAGCAATGGTGTTCATTAGAATTATGACATGCTATGCTCAACATAGAAATAAAGGTATTCATCATTATAACAAAGTGTCCATAATCCATTGTTCATGCTACCATGGGTATAGAAAGAAAGAACAACCAAATAGTTCTATCCCGAGGGACTCCAGGCTTTCGAGACTCTACAGAGCTGTACAACTATACCCACATGGAAGGACAGGACTAACCAGCATACCCTTGTGCGAGAGTAAGGGTTGTCTTACGCCTTCCAACCTTTCCCTAATCTGGCCCGAGTGTCCAACGAAAGGTTCGAGCAGTTGCCCGATCAATGTCCCGAACATTCCCGACTGACGCCAACCCCCTTGCCAGTTTCACAGATAAACAGGTCACCATTAGTTACTTGGCTTGTCGATCCCATCCGCGACATGTGGTCTGTACGGGTGGTTACTCAAACTTACATATCCCAATACATGGTCCTTACTGCTCCACAAGCTACGTCGACTGAGATCCCACACTCACGACGACCTACCCCTCGCATGAGCAAGATATCCAAGTTATCATCAAGATTATCATATTAGGGATATTAGTCCTTAGCCAAATTAGTTAGGTAAGTCAAGTTGTTCCCTCATTGGTTTTAATAGTTAATTATCTTGGTGTAGCATCCTACACGCGTGAGTATGAGTTCCCTTCTCATGCTCGACTTCTACCATTGCCCAAGCAACTAAGCAATAAGCATTAAGCGTTCCCATTCCCATTGTTTAGGTGAGAGGCTTCTATAGATTATTAAGCTACTTTAGGTGTAGTATAAGAGTGGTCATTATCTAAGACTACATGTATTGCATAACTCATAATGCAACTTGATAAGTATCCAAAGTAGGGTTTATAATAGTGGGGTGC